TATATATATATATATTACATCTCTTGTTGTTGTTGTTATTAAGCTATTAGTAGTGACCTCTATTAATGTTGTTTTTGCTGGTATTGTTGTTAATGGTAATGTTTATTATTATTATTATTGTTGTTATTATTGTTAATAGTAGTAGTAGTAATAGTATTGTTATTATTATTATCATTATTATTATTTGTAGTAGTAATAGTAGTATTGATATTATTATTCTTGTTGTTGTTAATTTCATCATCACAATGATCCTCATCTTCGGCATCAACCTTGGATCTGGGTGCTTCCCTCTTTACATGTGGCCCAAAATCCATTAGGCTTACTTGAGTGGCCAGTCTGATGGTTTTGTGGCTTGTAGACTGGACACACCTGAACACTCAGGGGCAGTGTCAAGCCTCCTTTCCTCCCCTTTGCAGTGTTATTATCTCATAAGCATTTTTAGCTTTTTTGCCTTTTTCCAAATTTTTTATTTGTCATTTAATATACGGTAACCAGATGGATAGAGCATATTGCACTAGCTTCATATCATTTCTGCAAAAAAATCTATAACTCAGTATTATAATGATAACAAATTCTCATGACTGCATGTTCCCATCACCCCAGCCCTCGGCCAATTTTTTCCATGACAGCATGTTCACATCAGTTGCCTCTCAAGTCAATTATTTTCATGACACGAGGATTATGTCATCTGAATCATAGTGGTTAATGCATTCTCATTATGATCAGAGCCTTGATTACTATCATAATCATTCATAAGCAGCTGCAAATATTTTTAGGTTTTTACATTTTTTTATTGTTCATACTCAGTTTGGTTGAAAACTTATGATGGTTTTGTCTCCCACAACTTTTCAATCTTACAGAATCTGGTTAAATATGTAATATGTTTTATTAAACCTTTTTCATGGATTGTCCACTGAATTTTGGCTCATACTGCTTCACAAGTGCTCAGTTGTTATTGTTATTGACATTATGATTATTATAATGTTATAAAAATGCCAATACCTAATCATTTAAACAAAGTCAGTAAACTAAAACCACAGTGGACATGGACATCCCACCACAAATGAATGTGTTGTGTGTTTTTTTAAGTCAAAAGAGCACATAATTCTAGATTAGTTGGTAATTTAGATAAATAAGTATTTAATTTTTTTTTTTTTTTTTTTTTTTTTTAATTAAAAGATTAAAGACACTACCAAGTTCTCAAGAGGCAGAGGGGAAGAAGAAGAAAAAAGGGAAGAAAAAAGCTAAAGAAGAAGAAGAGTCAGTGAGTGAGACAGTGAAGGAGAAAAGGAAGAGGAATGCAAGTCCTGATGTTCTGCCCCCACAGAGGAGAGAGGAAAGGAGGGAAAGAAGAATAAAGCTAGAGGATGTAATAAGCACATCTGAAGGTGATTCCAATGATAGAGAAGGAACCCTGAGGAAGCGGAAAAGAGCATCAACTGCAGAAGAGGAGAGTTCCATTGAAGAAAGTAGAGGGAGAAGAAAAAGTAAAAGAAGTAAATTCTCAAAACTTGAAACAAATTTCTGTGATGTAAATGAAAGTAAAAAACATGGCATTAGTAATAGAGACTTGTTAACTGAATCAGAGAGTGAAAGTGAACAGCTAATGATTCTTGGAAGAACAAGAAATGATCCATATTTGGTAGGTGGAAGCTTTCGAGGGAAAAGCAGAAAGGATACATCCAGTTTGCAGTCAAGTGGAAGGAGCAATGACTTTGAAAAAGGAACAGACATAAAGTGGAAAAAGAAAACAAAAGTAATTGAAGAGTTTGAGATAGACGGAGATGAGTTACAAGAGTTATACAGTAAAAAAGGAACAAAAGGTCAGCAAATTGAATTTGGGTTTGAAGAGAGTAGGGGTAGTAAGAGAAATAGATTTCAAAACTTGGCTGTAGATTATGAGTTAGGGAAATCAAGATCCAAGAAGAAATCAGGTGAAAGAGATAATATCATTGAAAAACAGAAGGAACTTGAACGTAGATATTTGGAAGACAAAAAGTCTCAGGTAAAAGTTGTATCCACAAGTACTGTTATTAACTTGCTAAGTGATGATTCTTTGGATGATGCATCCACTGATAAAAGTGAAAAAACTCTTGGTGAAAGATTATCAAATATCAGATCATATGAACAAGATGATGGGCCTCATGCAGCTGATTCAGTGACTGATCCTTCTGCATGCTTTGAGCCATGTGGCCCACTTAAAACAGGAAAGAAAAAAAGAATAAGAAAACACAAGAAAAAGAAACGTAATGAACAGCAGAGTGTAGTAGAAAATGATACTCCATATGGGAATATAGCCGAGAAGTCAGTATTTGATAGAGACGTAGCATACAATTTTCCATTTGAAAAACCCAGAAGTACAAAACAAGGAATGCAACTTGTTGTAAATCAGGGTAAACATGTGTTTTTTGAAAGTGAAGATGAAATAGTTTCCAGTAATGAAAGGGGAAGGAGCAGTTCTGCTCATGATGTTGAGGTTGTTGCAACTGCTTCCAATATATTTAGAAAAGAGTCTCAGCATTCAGAGCAAAGCAGTAGGAAGGAAAGCTTTAGACAGACTCGTCAAAGATTGACAGAACCAGTTGTTGTTGAAATTGAAGGAGAATCTACACTACCTAGCAGTTCATCAGTTTTTGCACCAAGTAGATATCAAACACAAAGGAGACAAATTCCTAGCTTTAGTGACAGGCAGGTTAAGAAACACAAAAACAATGATTCAGATACATTGTACCCAGGGCAGAATATTGGAGAAGTACACCTAGGAGAAAAATTTAAATATTCTACACCAGTCATGAAGAAAAAACCACCAGTACAAGTCCAAGATGATGAATGTGTACAGATGCTACACTCAGAAGATTATCCATCAGTTGATAACAAGGCCATTTCCCATCCATCTCAGCCAAGCGATGACACTGATGATTTAGCCACCTTCAAAAGAATGTGTGAAAATACTAATCTCATGGTTGTAAAGGTTGATCCAAGAAGGAGACTTAAAGCTAAGCCTCAAGAAAGAGAAACAAACAAGACAGGTAACACACTAAACCTTGGTCCACCAAGTCCTTCAGACCATTCTACAGTAGATGTAACTGAAGAAAGTAGACAGACCTTCCATAATCTGACAGTGATTGAAAACAGGGATATGCCTTTAATCATTCCAAGATCTCGAAGGTCACTGCGAGGTTCTGAAGAAAAGAGTCTAGGTGAGAGAAAAACAGAATATGCCAATGCAGGAAATAATGTGGACCGAGAAGACTGCTCCCAGTCTGGGAATGGCACATGTACAGAGGTTCCTCAATCTCTTGATTCTATCAATTCATTGCAAGACAGAAGAGACAGAAGTAAAAGTTGTGATATTATTGAGAATAATATGGAAAGAACACAACCGAACAATCCCAGTAATTCTAATTCAAGCTCTATGGATACAAACAGTAAGTTATCTCCAAAGAAGCCTGAATTTGGAATGCATTCACATTACAGAAAAAAGAATAGGCCAAGGGTTTTTCAGTCTGTTGGTGCAGTTCTTGCCAATCTTAAGTACTCAAGTGAGGAAGGCAGAGAACCAATTGCTGAACCCACTACAGGTAGAGGAAAGGTTCATGAGGCAGCTCTTGAGCAAAATCTGTCACAGGCAGAAGTGCATGCATCATATCAGTCATCTAATCCACATAAAGATTTCAGTACAGAAAGCAATGATGTACTCAAGGAAAATGTGAAGCAAACTGATGGTTCTGGAGCTGTTGATGATGATGATGACATTGTTCACTTGGAAAGTGATGAAGAAGAGCATGCTGTCCAAACTAGAGATGTAGTACCTGAAACTTTAGATGTTTATGACATCATTGAGGAGAGAAGAGAGAGGATGCAGGGAATTGCAGAACTAGGAAAGTTAGGTGATGTGCAAAAACATCAAGAAATGATGTTCTCTGAACAGTTTAAGAATATTCCAGGTGGTGTCATGGAAGGTATTCCAGAAGGATACAGAGGTTTTCCAGAAATCTTAGCAAAGGTGCTAGGAGGAGGCATTTCAGTGAAGCAGCTTGTTTCAGAGCAAGAGACCGTGTCACATAGAGAGAATGAGTGCATTTCTAAAGATAGTGTGAAAGAAAGGCTGGAGGTTACTCTTGATGATGAACAGAGTAATCAGCATGTTTTACAAAGTAGAGAAGATACTTCAAAAAACAGAGTGCATAATGTGCCTGAGGAAGCCAATGATGTAGTGCCAGAGAACAGAGAAAATTTGATACTTGAAAGGAGAAAGAATGAAGACTTGGGAGAAATATCTGAAGTTGTATCAGGAGAGATTAAGGAAAAAGGAGAGGAGGTTGTGTTAGATGAGGTTCATGAAGAAAAAAAGAGGTCCCCATTAAAAGATGATTTGTGTATTACAAAGGAAGTTCAAGAAAAAGTTGTGCAGAAAATAGAGGATGAAGATATCAAAGTGGTGGTTGATGATGATACTAATGTGCAAGGAGACCTGAATAATGACAGAGCTGTTGTGAATGAAAATGATGACTGTAGATCAGAGGTGAAGGTTTTACCAGAAACTGAAGATTCTGCAAAGGGAATGAAGGATGATATGAAGAAGACTAAAATGGAGGTAAGATTTTAATTTATCTATGTTACAATGTTGGGATCTACTCTACCTTGGGTCTCAGCCCTCAGCTCAACCAATTTTTTTCCTCCTTTCCTTTTCCTTATCTTTTCCAGCCCCTTCCCCTGTCCATTTTCGAAGGTGTGAGAGCTATTTTGAAAGGATGAAAGGCTAACTTTGTACCAAACGGGGTGTCATGGACATGGTATTCATGATTAATTGTCTAGCTCTTACCCCTCAGAGTGGTGGACTATGGCTCTTCTCAACACATTGTAGGCTTATCATGATCAATAATGAAGATTTTATAACCTTATTAGCGGCATTCAGGCTTTTCGTTTTACCAGTTAGCGTCTCTAACTTCTCTTGCATTTCCTTCATTTTCTGAATTATCACTCCATACTAATTCCTC